TGTTGTTGCTGCTAATGCTCACTTGTCTGACCTATAATCGTCCAAGCCAATGAAATTCCTCGTGGCAAGAAGCGCAAGAAGTTTACGCCTGCCGTTGGCAACAGCCTTGAGCACTTTACAGGTGCCGGTGCAATTTAGCTCAGTTTTGCCCCCAAATTTGCTGAAAAGCACCCCAGGGGGATGGGTCCGAAGGTCCCCACCCTTCTTCCCCTACCGCCAACCTCTTGAAAGGACTTTCGGCTTGCCGCATATTTAGAGGGCCCTCATGCGGCACAGACACTATACATTTACAAACACCCATGCCTGCTCCGGGGTTCGAACCCAGGCCCTTCGGCACGGCAGTCAGCGGCGCTAACCACTATACGAGTTGAGCGATAAATTCATTTTGAACATTCATTTAAATCTTTTGTATAAAAATTGTACTATCGAAATAACGTAACACACCATTTCTCGTACATGTACGACAGTTTGAGAAACTTTAAAATCAACGATTCTCTAAACATTTTTTTTTTTAATTTTAAGAGAACTTGAGAAAAATTCGACAAAACCATTTCTATAAAACAGCTCTCCCTGCCTCGTTGTTTTAGGGACGATTTTTTAAGGATTTTCAATGGTCTGCCAGCACGAAATCTAGTTACCCTTAACAGCAAACTACTAAATCACCATGAGAAGAGTAACCTGAGATAATTGAACCCGAGATAAATAATAATCAGTCGATGATCTGATTCCCTTCGTTGCTAGTAGACATACTATTCCAGAGAAAAATTTAATTAAACAATGCATCTTAACATTGCGCCGTTTAAATAGATCCTGGTGGTAGAACCATGTCTCTAACTAAGAAATATCTGTTTTAGTTTAATGAATTTAAAGTTATAAATAAGCGGAAATAAAAGTTAAGCGATATCTTCTAGTGCAACTAAAAATTTGATGCATTTCTTATATACACGCCATGTGTAAGAAAAGCTCTGGTTAGCATGTTCCTCCTTATTGCGTTATAGGTTAAAGGACCACCTAATCTGGAATAAAGAAAACTTACGCAACAGCAAAATCTTATTTACATTTATTACAGTACAAAGTCCGTAACCCGGACTCGACGGGACTTAGGCGATTCCGGATTAGGGATTTTTCCGGATTATAGATCAATTTAAAATATGGTAAGATTGCATGCAGAAATGATACAATTAAAAATATGAAATCGTAATTTATGCAATGAAAATTAATTATGATCTAAAGGGTATCAAAATTTACAAAAAAAAAAAAAATGCTTAATATTTATTTGTTTACTTTATTAAACATTTCTTTCAATGTAAGTTGTTTAAGATGCTTCCCCAATAAAATTCAAAAAGTTCCTTTTTCTTGTGTCCTATGTAGTGGATTTTCCAATGCCATACTTCTCGCATAATTTTGAAACGGATAGGCCTTTATCCCTTTTTTGCAGTAAATCCACTTTTTGTTTAATGGACATCAAAACATGCTTTCGCTTTGTAGATTCTTTGGCAGCTCCAGAATTGGAAACTCTTTTTGACATAATCGAAAGTTCAAGCTTAATTTTTATAAAATTGTTCTAACAGTCTGCAAAATATAATAAGCCGGATCCAATTAGAAGATTAAGGAACAGCGCAATCTGCAACATTAACTAAAATGCCTTAGATAATTTTAGCCTATCTTCTACCGTTTGTTATACATTAAACGCGCATGCGTAAACGCATATGCGCATAAAGTTGTAGTTTTGAGGTCAGGATTATAGATCATTCCGGATTATGGACGTCCGGATTACAGACTTGGTACTGTATTTATTTTATACAATCCATGATCTTGAACCACGTAAATTGGACAAACTAATTTAAGAGAAATAGTGGAATGTTCAGAAGTACATTTTGCATTTTGTTAAACTGTATCCGAAAAATTAGAATTTGAAAAACAGGTAAAATTTAAATTTCTATGTTTGTGTTCATTCTCTAGAAATATTAAATACAATTTTCTTTAGCGAATCTTCTGACGTTGGCTTAAGGCGACTCCTTTTTCAATAAAATTAACATCTATATAACTAGTCGCCCAGGCGGTAAAGTGGTTACTGATTCTGATTGTCATACTGAAGAAGGCAAGGATATAATTTGTCGATCTCATTCATAGGAGCCAAAAACGGCCTACCTATTACGAGCATCCATAATAAAGAGACCACCGCTTTCGGCCTTAGTAGTGGCCAACACCTGTAAACGGCTAAAGCCCACCATTGAGGGGGAAAAAGGTCTATACAAAACTGAATTTTAACTGATTTTAAATTTTAAACTCCCGCTTTTCTTTTCCATAACTGGAACTTGTCCCGCAAGTCAAGAAAAGTCAAAATTCGTAGAAGCCAGAACTGACAAAAGCATTCAGCCTGTATGACACTAGTCATTCAGCTCAAAATCAAAGCACCTCAAACGTCACATTTTTTACACACTATTACGGCATAATTCATTTTACTTCCTTATACGAAGTAAAAAGGAAGTATTGAAATCGCGAAAAGTTTCAGGTATCATATTTCAACGAAAATATTCAATTTGACCACTATCGAATGCAATTTAACAATGTTTTTGCGTGACGTCTGTACTCAAGGATAAAATAAAAGACTCTTTTCCCCCCAAAAAATTATAAAACTGATTTAAAATGAATTCTGAAGAGAATTTTTCGTGGCGTCTGTACGTACGTACGTATGTATCTCGCATAACTCAAAGCCTCAGAACGTTGAAATTTTGTTTATAGGATTGCTATAACATGCAGATGTGCACCTCGTTCTTTGGTTGCAATTGGCCGCACAAACGTATAAAATATAAATATGTATCCATTCTGTTACCAGAATATATCCACTCAGAACATATCCAGTTTGACCACTATCGAATGCAACTTAACGATATATTTGCGTGATATCTGTACGTAAGGAGAGAATAAAAGACTCTTTTCCTCCAAAAAATTTACAACACTGCTTTAAAATGAATTTTGAAGAGAATTTTTCCTGGCGTCTGTACGAACGTATGTACTTACGTACGTACGTATCTCGCATAACTCAAAAACGAGTAGCTTCAGAACGTTGAAATTTTGTATATAGGACTGCTATAACATGTAGATGTGCGCCTCGTATTTTGGTTGCAATCGGCCTCACCAAACGCATATAAATATATTTAAATATATATCCATTCTGTTACCCGGCTCAGGAATCTCAGTTTCTTTACTCTTATATGTTTGTAAATTGTACATTTGTTTCTTTAAAAATGATTGAATTATATTGTTTTTATCTTCCGGTTAAGGATTTTATGCCTTTAGTAAATCTGCATGCAATATTTTTAGAGTTATCAACAATTTAAAAGTTGTTTAAGTGCAGCTAAGCCTAATTTTTTTTTTACTTTAGCAGCCATATTTGGTTACATTTGAAACTTAGTTAAATAGTGAATTAATTCTTTCTGCAGCTTCAGTGTCTTCTTGCCGAATGGGTTCAAAGGGAAACTTTTAGTTTTGTGCACTGAAATATCTGCTTTCTTGCATGCTAGCCGAATTGCTTTTTCTCTGCAGACACTGTAATTTTAATTGTAAAAATTGTTTTTTAATTGTTTTAAGTGTATTTGGTGTTTTATGTTTTTCTATATCTTCCAATTTTAATGAAAATATTTTGAGTTTTTATGTATTTTTGCCGTGCCGCGAAGTGAACTGAATTCATCGAATGAAAAATATATCTCTAATGAAATTCGAGGTAATAAGTTTACATAAAGTGCATCAAAAATGCGTATAATTTAATACTCCGTGCAAGGAAATCATGTGGTGTAGACATCAGCTTTTTAAAACTAATCTTTTTAACAGCTCTGTTTTGCTAACGGCATTTGTTTCTCTATGGCTGTACAGCATTTTGGTGATTCAGACAACATTTCAAACATTTTTACTATTATTATACAGAAATAAGACTAAATAACGATTGTATGACAACCTCGAAGTATTCCATGACTAACATTGCATTTATTAAATTAAATCTCCAAATGCATGAAAAAATAAAAAACGCATTCATTTTATTAGGTCTTTGCATAAAAAAGTAAAATGTTGAGTACCGAATTTCAGTTACTGTGTTAAGAAAAGGAAATTGTCGATAGGAAACAGAATTATTCACAGGAAACGGAAATGATTGGAAATAATTCCTTTTCCGTCATTCACTTTAATTTGAAGATTCGGGTAACAAGTCAGGCCGTGAAGAGTTAAGTTACATAAATTAACTCAACAACGGAATAAAATTATATCATCCTAAACAACTGAAAGGGATGATGTTCTCAAATAACTCCTCAATCTACATATTCATAATAAATTCCTAGATTGAAAGCAGCAATATGTAATTAAAATGTTAATTATAGATTAAGCCGTATAACAAATTTATAGGTATAAATGAAAATGGCTAAAATCTTACACACGCCTAAAGGGCAAATTTATTTTAACGGTAGAAGCATCTTTAGTGGAGTCTTCCCATAATTTCTGAAGCTTTATGTTACTTTCCTATTAAGTAATCATCCAACAGCTTTGGCAATTGTTATTATGCAACAATACTGTACTGGCCTAAGTTGGTAACCGAAAACCTATATGTCACCAAATGACTTACAGCTCATCATCAAAGCCATTGGTGAAAACCTATAGGTCACCAATGGCTTTGACGGTGATTGGTGGCCAATGGGTGTGACGGTCAGTGACTTTGCCCTGCTGGAGTCAATGCTAGCTATCCTCTGGTTTCACTTAATTTTAACACTACAGCACTGCCATAACCGTGACCTTATAGGGCTGATAGCCAATAGCCATAATTCACCAGTGGTGCCTGTATGTTTTGGTTTAGTTTCATTTTAAAGGATTATCTTGATATTTATTTAAAAGCTGAAAGAGAACGAATTTAATTTTAAAAAACAAACAAATTTAAACACAAATAGAATAGTGTCTGATATAATAAACCTCAATATATGTGTAAATACGTAAATGAGATGATGAAAACTTACCTGCTCGGTTAGCTCACTTGAGTTGTTAGTTGCGAATTTCCGGCAAATTATTTTGCGTAAGCGTGGAATTCAAAAAGATTATGTGTTTCATTCAAGATGATTCCATCACTTTTGAATTCTTAAGCATCAGTTTACTTGAAGTTCTGCAAAGAAAGATATTATCATATATGTGAAACTAGTAAGTAAAACCTACTTCTGATGCTAAGAATGTTAATCCACATAATGAAAAAACCAGCTTGATTAATACAGTTTGCAAGAAGATTTGATTTCATTTTAAGATCATGTTATGATTAATAATCCTGGAATGACCAAAATATTGGGTCAAGTTAAAATGCCACTAAAATATTTTACTTCCTTGTACAAAGTAAAGAAGTATTGTAATCGCGAAAGATTTCCGGTATCCTATTTCAACGCAAATATCCATTGTGATCGCTCTTAAATCCATTTGAACGATGTTTTTGCGTGACATCTGTACGTACGGATAGAATAAAGGACTCTTTTTTTTTATACAAAACGGATTGTAAAATGGATTCAAAATGGATTCAGAAGAGATTTTTTCGCGATGCACGTACGTACGTACATATATATCTCCCATAATTCAAGAACGAGCCTCAGAACGTTAAAAGTTTGTATATGGAACTGGAATAACACGTAGCTCCCTTTTTGTTTGCAATCGGCTACATGAAATATAAGTATATCCACTCTGTTACCCGGCCTGGTGAGTACAGTTTTTTTTTTATTCTTATTAAAAAATCTATGCTCACCTATACTATACTCACTCTATATACCTTTTTTGCTTTAAAAGGGATTGAATTGTGTTGTTCTTAAGTTCCGGTTACAGTTTTATACCTTTAGTTCATTTGCATACAATAGTTGTAGAATTATCAACAATTTAAACTTAAATTTAAGTGATACTACGCTTAACGAGGATGCCATTTGTTTACATATGAAACTCTTGGTAAAATGGCGAATTAAATCAGTTTGTGCACGAATGTAATTTCCCCGAGTGAGGCCAAAAGTAAACCTTAAATTTTGTGCACTGAAAAATCTGTCTTCCTGCCCGCTGGCCGAATTGCTTGTTTATACGAATAAACACTACTTCAAATTATAAAAATTGTTAGTCCAAAGGGGCTTTGTCGCTGAAGGACTATTGTTTCCGTCTTGCGATTTTGCGTTGAATCACTATAAATGTCCGTTTCACTTTTCAAACTAATGTTAGAGTCTTGCATTATATTTGAATAAATTAAATAATGAAACATCTGCTCAATGTACGTCTATTTCTCGCATTGTGATAAAACAACGGTACCTAGAGCCATCGAATTTTGAATGACGTAATCATCTTACGAATATGGGCATGTGAAAGACCCAATTTGAAATTTGGAATTTGTTTTATAATCGATTTCATATTTTGCAAAACGTGAAAGAATTTTTGAGTAACAAACTCAAACGATAAAAACAAACGATTTAAAAGCGAGCAATGGCAACACTCTACGGCGGAGGAAAAAAAAAATTATCTCCAGCGGGCGTGGAACTGTGTATCGGAAATTCTAAAGGATATGCTCATTTTAAAATTATTTTGCGATACTGCTACTAAACTGAATTTTATGGTTTAAGTGCAAAGCATATGATATTTAATAAATAAAGATAACACACAAAACGTTAAAAAAACGCCCCTTTGGACGTAATTTAAAATCTGAAACCTTTCAGATTTCTTTAAAATTGTTTTAACAATTTTATTAACAATTGTATTTGGTGTTTTAAGTTTTTTATGTGCTTGACAATTTTTAATGAAGATGCTCTGAGTTTTTATACAGTTTTGCATTCCCACGAAGTGAGAACTGAATTAATTGAATGAGAAATATACATCTACAGAAATTTAAGTAAATAAAATTTAAAAAAAAAAGGTTAAATGAATTGCAATAAAAATGTGTACAGTTTAATAGGCCATACATGGAAGTGATGCAGTGTGCACATTTGATATTTTAAGGTAGTATTGCAGAGATCATTTCATATAATGATGCCGCAACATAAAACTGCCTGCGGATAAGTTGGTAGCATTCTTCAGCGATCACTTTGTCTAAACATGATTAAATTGGAAAGGGCGAACGCTACTTTTCTCCAGTACTGAATTTTCCGAAGACTTTAAAGACCTAAAATCTCCTGATTGTCAATAAAAAAAAAAAGATAATTTATTGTAGTATGTTACTGTTCATATCTCTGAGATCTACATGTTCATCGTATTTTTAATTCTTTAAACTGAATTAATAAATAGTGTTTACTTCAAACCTCTAATATTACACGACAGATAATATATATTAAATAAAATACATTTCATGATATCACTATGTTCCGATCTGATGGAAAGTTCATATTTAATTTCACAACTTATTTCAATAGTGAATCAGATATACAGAGGCTGTTCGTACACTTTTTAGACGTTTGGTAAGCGGTAATAAAAAATCGTTTGCTGCAAAGGAAGTAATTGCATTTGTACTATGTTTAAGTCTAAATTATCTTCTGTGGCTTGAAAGTTTTGTTTTTGTTCAAAATGACGAATTTAACAAAGCAGTGGTTCGAAGGCTACATTTGCGCTCTTTCCGAAGAGAAGTATGCACACTCCGTTATCCAAAAACGATGTGAGATGTCATGGTTTTGTGATATCTAAAGCGTCGATAGGTAATATCATCAGCAAGAAAGGGAAAAAAACGTCAAATTGGAGCCTCAAGTGGGACAAAAATTCCAAACAAGTATCCAAGGAAAAAACGGACATCTTCGACTATTGCAAAGGTACGTTGTTTAATGTTAAAAGAAAATCCCCCTAGTCAAAGGACAGTTGCAAAATCATTAAAATGCTCGGTGTACACTGTAAACAAAATGATTAACGTTGATTTAAATCTTAAGAAAGCGAAAAAACGCAATGTGCATCGTCTTCTTCCAAAGCATATTGCTCAACGCAGGACACGCTGCAGAATTCTATATGAGAAACACTTGGACAAAGAAAAATGGAAAACAGTTGTCACAATAGATGAAGCATGGGTGTATTTAAATGATTGTAACAAAAAAAAAAAAAAAAAAAAAAAAAAAAAGAGTCATTTATTATCATAAAAAGGGAGAAAAAAATTTAAGTACATGGTTCAAGAATCGAAAGAAAGTTTTTCTAAGGGATTCATGATTGTTGCTGGTTTTTCTTATACTGGCAAGTTAAAAATAAAGAGAGTGCAAAAAATGTCAAGATTAACTCCAAATACTATCAGGAACATATTTAATCGCCAATTTGTCTGAATGAAATACCATCGCTTTGCCCACAGTGCCATCCATCTGTGAGACTCCATCAGGACAAAGCTAGCAGTCACACATCAAAATCCACTGTAAATTTCCTAAAAGAAATGGCACAAAAAACGGTATCCAGGCCATACCCTTCACTGATATCCCTACTAAATCTCCCGATGTGTCACCTATGGATGTTTGTGCTTTCGGACCTTTTAAAAACTGCATTATCCAAACGTTGTCCCAAAACCCTAACAGGACTCTGGAAATCTGTTCGGGAGGAATGGGATAGAATATCTCTTTTGCCACTTCAAAAGGCATTATTATCCTGGAAATTGCGGTGTCGAAAGATAGTTTAGAATAAAGGATGTCAAATAGAAGATTTAAAACACAAGAATTTCATGTAATTTAAGGTTTGTGAATACAATATCGTCTGAAAATGTGTGAACAGCCTCTGTATAGATAGATGCAAAAGAGATTGCTACAGGTTAATTAGATTTTCTAAAAAAAAATACGAAACAAAATTTGTAGGTTAAATAATTTATATAGAAAGTTTTGTGCACAAAGTACACAAAAATTTTCATTGACTTTAACGAGTTTTATCAGCACTTACATTCGACACTCCTTTTTTCTTAAATGCACTTTTATTAACGTAGTTTCCACTATTGGAAACAGCGCTATTTATCTATTTCTGATAAGCCCTTCCTCTGCTTCATCACTTCGCGCTTGATAATTTTCACACCTCCCAAATGCTTCTTCGGAGATACTATTTTGATTTTTTGAAACGCAAACAATGTCATAGAGAGATAAAGTGGAAAAATGGGAAGGGTGTTCGATCGCAGTGATTGCATTATCGACTAGGCACTCTTTAACAAATAATGCTGTGTGCAAGGGCGCATTGTCATGAAGAAAAAATTCATTCCCTTTTTCAAGTACTCGCATTAGCACTTGCCGTAAAGGATTTCTTAAGTGTCTCAAGGTCGCCCCTTAATAAGGTACACTGCGAAAAAAAAAGGGGGGGGGACAGTTTCCGTTCTACTGGGCCTATTGACGAAATTCAATTTGCTATTTTCATATTTCGAAAGCGCGACTTAGGATATGTATTAGATTTATATATAGCATTGTTCTAATACAGGTATTTTGACACAAAATTGGATTTTTTCTGAAATGACATGCCAATTGCTTTCCATATTTCGATTTTACGATTCAAATTATGCCAAAATGCCAAGTTTTGTAAAAATCGCACGAGTAGTTTTTAAAAAATTAGCCCTCAAAATTTTAGCTCCTCAATGCTAATTGAATTTGATATATATTTATTAATATAACTTTTTTTTATTAAACTTACTTGATTCTTTCTTCCAGAATACGAAATTTAGATTCATTCCAAATAAAATTCACCCGTTATTATGATTTATTTTAAAATTTGTACTTTTAAATGATTTTTATATATTTTTCAAAAAAATTTTGAATTATAACCTATAACATTTATACCATCTTGTTAAGGTAAATGTATGGCTAATCTCTGGAATATGGTAACAGGTAGTTTGGTGACATTTTGGTAAGGCGATATAGGTTACTAGCTAGGACTTTAGCAGTGTACATGGATAAAGTCAAGAGTGTGCTCAATGCCATTTTTGTGCAATTCTGGGATTTTTTTTAAGTGAAAATAGGTCGACGTGTACATGGATACCGTGTATATGCAATTCTTAAAAACGCGGCAAGCAGTAGGCGATTCTGCACTTTCTCCGAATTTCGCACCTAATCTTCGTCGTGATTAAGCACTTTTGTTCCATAAAAGTTCTAGCATAAGCGTAATTCGGCTAGCAGATTGTTGGAAAAAAAATGTTGAGTTAAAAAAAAAAAAAAAAAAAAAAAA